CCTTAAGGGAGGGGACCAGCACTTACACAGGATTTTAGCCTTTTAAGAACAAAGCAGGCCGACACGTATGGGAACCTGTAATATGGAGGACATCACGAAGGGGCGGGCGATGGACCGAGTGCGGCCAATAACCAAGCCACCACTGGGCGGTGGACTCGGGAACGAGGTGTATGTGGTTGACGAGCGGCTGCAGAAACGCAAAGACTGCTGCGCGGAGCGGATGACGGACGTCGACATCTATCTCGGCTCGACGGCGGAGACGTACACGGGCAACGCGCTGGTGAAGTCGGACGTGAGCGTGTCATCGAACGTGATGTTGGAGGTGGAGATCAACGCGTTGGGGCGCTACATCTACCTCAACCGGCCGTCTGCGGCGGGGCTGACGGTGTGCAAGTTCTACGTCTTCGCTTCGCCCGCGCCGCCGCCGTCACCATCACCGCCTCCACCGCCGCCGCCCTCAGCATCGCCGCCGCCGCCGCCGCCCTCACCGCCGCCACCGCCCGCGCCTCCGTCGCCGCCACCAGCAGCGCAGCTGCTCGACCTTCGCACGGCCACCACGTACCAGGACTCGAGCTTGTTCGACAAGCAGGCGCCCGTGAGCGATCTTTCATACGCCGACAGCACGACGGGACGGCCGTGGGCCGAGTGCGGCCAATACACAAGCCACACGTGGGGCGTCGACCTCGGGAGCGAGGTGTATGTGCGCTACGTGCGGCTGCAGAACCGCAACGACTGCTGCGCGGAGCGGCTGACCGGCATTGACATCTATCTCGGCTCGACGGCGGAGACGTACACGGGCAACGCGCTGGTGAAGTCGGACGTGAGCGTGTCGTCGAACGTGATGTTGGAGGTGGAGATCAACGCGTTGGGGCGCTACATCTACCTCAACCGGCCGTCTGCGGCGGGGCTGACGGTGTGCAAGTTCTACGTTTACGGATACGTGTGAATGGAGAATGGAAATTGGAACCGTGGCCATGACAGACCGGCGGCGCGTACGTGAATGTGCATGGTATACACATGTGAGACGTGGACGATGTGGAATGTGAGTAGCGTTTCGCGGGTGGCGCAGAAATGATTTTTGTGATTTTCGTTCATTCCAATTGCCTTGAATTGACTTGACTCGCTGCGAC